CTCTCTCTCTCTCTCTCTCTCTCTCTCTCTCTCTCTCTCTCAACCCTACAGACTCGAGGCGGAGACTGTTTAATTTGGCAGCGCCTTTTTCTCTGCGTGACTGTACAGCGTAAAAAAAAAAAAAAAACCCAAAACTTTACTTCCTCATCGGAAGATAGCGGGGGAGGCGTGGCTTGAAGAAATCTCTGTAAATAGTGCTGTCTATGTAAGCTTTTAAGACAGAATAGGAACTTTTCTATTTTTTTAAGACAGAATAGGAACTTTTCCAAAGAGCTGAATCCAATAAATGCACAAATATTAAAAAGAAGAGAGAGGCTATATTTAAAACTGAAAGAATAAACGAACTTGCAGCCATCTAGATTTCAAGGTCGACTGGGTTTCCTGGTTTAGTTTTTATTTAGTTTTGTTTCTGTGGCTTCGAGTCAGTCTCGCTTGCGGAGTCCTTGGTGCTCTCGGAGCTCGGTTTGCTTGCAGACGCTTTAATTACCCAACTAGGTAACATCATCAGTGCATAATGATTCCCTGCAGTTTTCTTGGCAAGATTTCAGAAGTGGTTTGCCATTGCTTTAGTTACCTTTGTACAATCCTACTTAGAGGCTGTTACAGTTAATAGTAGTCAACCTTGGGACATGCCTGAGTGCTGTGTTCTTAACCCAAAACCAAAAATTCTGGAAGCAGAAATGTGGTCTTTGAAATCTTGACCCTAGACTTACCTACATCAGAAATTTTGCAGGTGAAGGAAGTGGCCTGATCTTTCAGAGTTCTTGCATGCAACAGGTCAACAATGTTCAAGAAAACTGATGCAAAATCAATGCACTAAAGATAAATGGGAGATCGGGACTGTGTAAATCAAATCAAGATCACTTCCTGCTGGAAAAGACATTTTTGTAATCCAATCAATAGATTTAGAGAGAGGAAAGAGAAAGTGGTGCAGAAAAACCACACTTCAGTTGGATGTCAAAATTTGTAGGGAAAAGACTGCCAAAAGATAAGGAAGAATGATAACTGTCCTGGGGCCAGAATGGATCATTTGAAGAACCCACTGACATAAGGGGAAACCTGCTGCTTTGAGATATAGTCTTAGCTAGAATATCTACATTTATTAATTTGCTCACTTTAGATATGCAACCTTTAAAAAACAAAAGGCAATGTATTAATACACTGTAATTAATAATGGGAAGTTATTATTATTCCATAGTAATAGAATGGGAAGCAAGGATGGTTTGCAAAGAAAGAAAGATTTATAGAGATATATTGATGTAAACTGTATCTAGTTAGAGTTCTTTTTCTTTTATGTCTTGCCTCCAAATTCTTTTTTTTTTTGCTTCTTTTTTTTGTGCACTTTGTGTAAAATTGTTCACTTCAAAAGAGAATAATGTGATGAGTATAAATGTATGTAAAATGACCCATTGTGCTTTTAGTTGTGGGTCAGCTCTCAACAGGAACCTGCTGCTGGAGCATGAATTGGCATCACAATATAAGACAGGTAAGAAAGACTGAGAAAAATAATGAGAATCAAGCAGAGACTAGGCAAGGACTGGCTAGAAACAGAATCCACAGGGAAGCTGCCCAAGCCAGAAGAAAGATATAGAATAATTGGATTTAAAATCAGTTATACTATTTGAGACAAACCCTTCAGAAGGCCAGATGTCCCTTACAGGATCTAGGTTGGTTCAGGTTAAGAAAAAAAGACCATAACAGCTCCTAACTGATGAATAGAGATTCCATCCAAACCACTTTATAGTCTAACTATCCCTCTAACAAATGACAAGAACTAAATAATTGTCCAGAGATCTTCTGCAACTCTGCTGTTGTGGAAGAATTTGGTGATCAGAGCAGGATCTACATTGGAGCCTCTTACGTGTGGAAAACACCATTGTTATGGGGTTTGTTCCAAATACAGTTGCTACTTGGTAGGCATGAATACAGCACAATACAGACATTGGTGCATAATGTTTTAAGTATATGAGAAGAGTTTAAAAGACTACATGTTTTTTAATCACCTAAAACACTACAGATTCCTACTGTTGCTGTTTTAGTTTGTTTTAAAGAAAAAAGTCAATCACTGTCTTCATATCACAATTATAGTTTACAATATTAACCCAAAAACCACCCTATTTTCTTTCCAATTTACAAAAAAAAATGGCTTTTATTGTGAAACAATAACATTAATTTAAAAATAATGCATTCTTTTGTTACATTTACATCCTCCCACTAAAATCAAAATTATGTATATTGTTTTCTTCCATCCCTATGAGATACTGTAGATTAGGCTGAGACTATGATGTCTGACTCAACAATATCAAATGAATTCTGTGAGGATTTCAATCTGAGATGTTATATTTCTACTTTGACATGCTAGGAAAGTGGCCTTTTCTAGTTGTAAATGCAAGTAGACAATAAAAGAAGCACTGTAATGCAGTAGGATTTGTTCTTGAGTTTGAAATATTTAACTGTGTTGGAACAATAAGTCAACTAACAATACCTAACCAGATAATTGACCAAATTGTACTTTTGAGGTATTATAGATTTTTAGAGCATCTTGATAACTGGCCCTCTTAATCTTAATAAAGGAATCACCTGATTAAAATATAAAGCATGTCTGACTCCTTAAAATGAACAGTATATGATCAGCACTTTTGAGTTTTCAGGTATTTGCTACAGAATACAGCATGTGATTGATTGCAGCAGCCAGTTTCCTAAAGTTGTCCTGTTTAATTTGCTTTTGAAAGCAAGATTCTAGCCATGCTATTATTTAAAAAGAAAAAATCCGGTATGTGAACAATTTTGGGCGAAGACTGAAAAGCCACAAGGGTGACTGGATAAACATTTTGAAAAGCTGGATATTCTCCTTCAATAATATGGAGCACAGATGTTTTCTGGCATCTGGATTAACTTTTTGTATTATGAAAAGCAAGATGTGAAAGAAGCAGGATTTATTAAGCCTTTACATGTGTATCTTGATTACACATGTAAAAAAATAGAAGCAAGCCTCAATTTTGAAATCTATGGGTTTTTTTTAAAGTCAGTGCTAAAATTATTGTGTCTTGGAGAATCAGTCACAATTTCTAAAAAATGTTTTCTTGGCATATTTACACCATCTTTTACCAATCATGGTTTGCAATGTTATGAGTAGTTAGAAGTCCAACAACGCAGGAAGAACATAGGTCATCTCAGAGCATCTTGGCCAGAAGATAAATGATAATAAATTTGGGGAAGTTTTGAGATCCTTTAAGTGCTGTAGCTGGGTGGTGAATGGAAGCTCCATGCAAAGTATCTTTTAAAGCTAGATGTTGCAAGCGTTAATTTATTGTCTCCAGATTTCAGTGAGCACAAATCCTAATCAACAATATTAGTAGACTTGAATTGAAGTGCAGGGATATCCCATTGCATCAGCATTTTTCTTCATAGTATGTACCAGATGAGTTCTGTATGGATATAAAGAAAAAAATAACTTGGTGAAAAAAAATAAGCCAGCTAGTCATTTAGAAAGCAATTACATCTGATTATGGACTCAACTGATTGGGCTTCCCCAACATGGCACATTCTAGATAGGCTGGATTTCAACTTACACTAATGCTTTCTGGAATTATAGGTTTGGACTGTGCTGGCTGAGAATTATGGAAAGTGAAGTCCAACCCATTTGGACAGCACCAGTTTGAAGAAAGCCACACTAGACAGTGCTATAATTAAAACTAATTTGTGTAGGGCTAGAAGAAATATTTAAATTGATGGATTTAACATTGAAATAATTGTTTAAGGAAAAAAGTTGTCAGGGAGTTGAGATGTGTCTGTTTATAGATATGGTTACATTTTGTTTTTGTAAAAAAATATGTCTTGTCTAGTTTTCCAAACCTTAAATGGATGATGCTTGCTATTAACTTCCTGTTAAGGTAATACTCTTCATATACCTCAAATTCTTGAAGATCTCTTAACAATAAAATATATGAAGAGACTAATGGTGCTTCCAGGCCAGGCTTCTGTTGTGCACATACCCTGCATGGAATAGCATTACATTGCCATTCTCGCTGACAGTATCAAGCAGCTTTACATCTGCCATGGAGATGTATTGGAAGATGCTAATGAAAATAAATATACCAAGTTAACTATCATATGGAGCCAGTTATAGTTATTCTTTCACATCTTAGCCAAAAAGGAACACTCTTTCATCCCTGGTATGGAAACCATTTAAATTAGAGCTTTTATACTAAAGTAGTCACAAGAAAGAGTGGAAAACCTAAATATCCATTAGTATAATATACTGTAATAAATTAAATCAGCAATGAGTTTTCCCATGGAAAAATTTATATTATTTCATGTTTCTGCATATTGGGCACTCAAGGCAATTAACAATAGAAACAGTGCAAAATATGGAACAGTTAAAGCCCATTTCAAAAGCTAATATTAACCTTTGAAGCAGCTGGTCCCTGGAGAGTGTCATGGTGGTAGCGGGTGAGTTATGGATTTCTCAGATGCAGCGGAAAAAGACATACTGTAAAGCCAACAGATGGCTAGTCTGTTGTGGGAAAGCTCTCAGCCAACAGAGGTTGATGCTTTTGCTGTTGAACAGAAGCCTACACAACTGGGCTAAGTGTTTTGATAGTCAAGAGTTGTTCACAGACCTTGGCCAGGTATCAAGTCCTAGAATAATCCAACAACCCTGCAGCTTTTAGAAAGGATGAGAAATTAGGCCAGTGTTTCTCAACCTTAGCTACTTTAAGACATGTGGACTTCAACTCCCAGAATTGGCTGGCTGGGGAATTAAAAGAAGGACAAAGAAGGGGTTGACACTCTATTAAGGAACAGACTTGGGCTTTGTTGGTAACAAACACATTTCCCTTGACCTGCACCTTGCTTCTCTTGGATTTCTGAGTTCTTGGATTTCTGACTGCTTTGACCTCAGGCCAACTTATCTTGTACTTGTGTCAGCTTCTCTCATGCTTATAAACTCTCCTTGGTGATTTCAGAGCAATTTACCTCATAGTCTCTCATCTACTGCCTGTCTTAAACCTTTTGACTGGGGCTCGACTTCCTCACCTCATTGTTTGCAGGCTCACAGCTGTGGACTACCTTGCACAGGATCAGGCTCATAGCCAAATAGCTCATCTGGCTTACCTGGGAAAGGTTAGGGCAGGAGTCAGCCCTTGAGCCCACCCCTGCTGCTCCCCATCCAAGAGTTAATTATGTCGCAGGTAATTGCAAAATGTTCTGACAGAGAATGGAGAAGTGAAATGAAGGCCTTGGAAATTAACATGATAAAATAAAGCATCTTAAGTCTTACCCTAGGAAACTGAGCCATATGCTGAATTGGAATATACACCAGGTACCCCCAAGTCACTAAAAGGCAACACAGATAAATAGTTATCATTCTACAATTTGTGTAACTTCGGAAAATAGAGCCGAATGCCCTCAAGGCACACTTTACTATTAGGCTTTTGAGAATCTCAGAATTAATTTAATATTTGATGTTCCTAGCGCTTGAAGTTGCCACATTACATTTGGAAATGTGAAGTGAGGGGAAAAAAACCTCATCCTGTAATTTGCTTCTATTCTCAGTAGTGTAACGTCTTTTGTACTGAGTTGCCAGGAACAAAATTTTAAGCAAAAACAAGAATGAGTCTTCTGACACCTTAAAAACTAACACATGAATATCATGTAAGCTTTGCTTGATCAAAATCAACAGAAAAGTTAACATTTTTGACACAAAACAGTTCAAGAGCAACTTTTACAAATTGCAGTCTCAGATCGTCTAGAACGTTGGCTGTTTGCCTAGTTTGTGAAGAGATTTTATGCCCTTTGCTTTCATTTATACAGTAACTTGGTCAGCCACACTATCTGTTACATATGAGACATCAACTCACATAGCAAAACATCTTCTTACCCACCTCTCACCCATCTATTCCCACAGGTGCTCCAGGGGGCTACTAAGTCCCCTGTTTCTTTACTGTGATGGTACATAAATTAAAAGCTAGCTTGCAAAGTGTTGGAGAATACTTAGTGCCTTGCAGTCCTAAGCAAACATAATGAGCAGCAAGTTCTATTTATCCGCAAGGTATGTATTTCTACATAGATATGTTTAGATTCATGCTATGTGTCTGGCTATCTTAAATTGTTTAATTCACAAATGAAATACCTGCTTTTTGTATATATTGGTTCATCTTTTGGAAAAAATAATCCCCCCTCCATCCCCCATCTCGCATCTTGCAGGCATGCCATTTTACTAACTTAGTATTTCAAATATTTTACGAAGTAGAAAGTTTGAAAATCTTATGCAACCATAAATGAATTAGTCTTTGAATTTTTATGGAAATTTGCACTGTTCTTCAGCTTAATTCTAAGAAATTTGGTGTCATGTCATATTGCAGTCTGTACCTGGTATCGTTTAACAGTCTCTCCTCTGATGGAGTCATAGTTCCCATTGGATGATGCAAAAAGACAAAAAGATAGATTAATGAATCTATACCAATGAATATAATTTATTAATGTAAGTAGTAGTTAAAATGTAGCAGCAATGATTCTGATTAGAATGCAAGGCTATAATTATTAGTGTATTTATATCCCCTCCTTTCTTCATCAAGTTTATGGAAATGATATCAGACCTTTCCTTGTTATTTCTGTAATAAGTCTTGTTATTTCTCTCTACTAGGTAACACAGTGATTTTCCAGAAGATGTGATTAATTTTGTCAATTGGTCCTCTCCTAACAAGCCACAATCATAGTCTAAAAACAAACTATATTAGGAGAAGAACAAGACAGAGTTCCTGGTTGACCCATATCAATAAACTAAACATGGTACCGTCATCCTGGTTGGTTTAATCTTAGCCACTTCCATTGACTGGAGGATCAATTAAGCAACATTATGCTGCTTGTTCACAGGTAACCCAAATTCTGAAGAATTCTGGCTGTCCATGACATATGAATACATTGTTTTGGCTTACTAAAAGGGTTATTCTAATGTGAATGCTGGATTTTTTTTTTAGGGTCAACACAGTTCTATTTTTGTGAAGTTGGCACTAACAATCGTTACATTTGTATGTATGCATGAATACATGGAGTACATAAATGGAATATATGGAGTACATAAAATATGTGGTTTTGGATTACTGTACATTTTTGGTATAAACTGTAGTTTAGAAAGGCATTTTAAATGGAGGGAATGAGAAGTTGTATACAGTTTTAACTATAATTATTATCTGTTGAAAAATATGAACTCTCATGCTCATCAAGATGAGAACATTGGGACCTGGGTGATCTCCAATTGGGTGATGTGAATTTTCTTACCTTTTTTGCTGAGACGCTTAATTGCCAGAGCTATCAGACCTCCAGAGATCAAAGCAGCAACAAGGACTGCTGTGACTCCACCGGTATAAAGCAGAACTTGCTTGAGGTAAATGGCAGTACTTTCTGAAATTTGATATATTAGAAATGAAATAAGTCAACCAATAGTACATTCCTCTCTTCTAAGGCTCTGGTATTCTAATATTGGCTCTATAACTCTACAGATCTCCATCTGCTTACATCAGAACCAGATGCCCTTGACCTGTGAATCTGAACAATGTCTCACATGCTTTGTACATTTGGAAGTAACCACATGAGAAAATGTGCCAAACTAAATTTTCTAAGAAAATGGGAGAAAATGGGGATGGATGAGTGGGGATGATTTTTTTTTTTAAATCCTCAGCATTCTTTTTCTTTATATGAGTCATTATAGAGAGATAAATATTACAGTAAAAATAATGCCACAGTACTGCTTTAAATTTATTAATCAGCGAGAAGTGCTTTCCAAGTTATCCCTCATGATCGGTATTTCAAAAGCAACATTTTAAGCTCTTATAAATTAAAGAATTCAATTTTGAAATGTCTATGCGCTTAATTATATTTCGAAGAGAGAACACAATAACAGCAGCTGTAAAGCACCGAGACTGTTGGGAAAGTGAAGTGACTCACATCACATTAAATACAAATTACTTTTTCTTTGAAAAAAAATAGAGTAAACGCAGCAGAGGGCAGCACTGATGGGCTAACACACACTTCTTTGGCAGAAGTCCTACCCCACCCACTACAGAACTGTTTTGCAACTGTTTTTCAAAATTATTTTAGTAAGATAAAAGAAGAATGTATATTGGACTAGTCTACTGTGATCCTTAGAAAAAACTAAGGGGACAGCAAAACAAAACCATTGGGGAAGTTGCAGTTTGCATAGAAAGAGATCACGGTACCTTGACAAACAGGCATCTCAGCAGACCAGCGGCCATCGGGTTGGCACTGCATCCTGCTTGTTCCATTGAGAATGAAGCCCTCAATGCAAGAGAAGCGGCATCCTGAGCTGTAGCTGAAGGAGCCCCAGGGATGGGAGCAATTCTTTTTCATGTTCTCCGTCTCTCTCAGTGGGGGACACTTTATGGCTATGGGGAGGAAGGCAGGAAGGCATTAAAACTAGAAAAAAGGCAGATACATCACAGGAAGGATCTTTTAGAGCTGGACAAAGGCTGATCAAATGACCACAGTGTAAAGAAAGGTCACAATGCTAGTTCTAGTGGTGTTGAGGTTGAGATTAGGAAAACAAGAGTAATAGGTACATGATGTCTGTGCATGTGGTGTGCACATAAATGTGTGTGTGTGTATGAATAGGTGTATATGTGTGTGTGTAAAGAGGGAGGGTACTTCTGCTGTACACATGGTGTACAGACCTTGGAATCTATTACTGAAAGAAAGACAGAATAACTCTCCCTCCGGTGTATGTTGGATTCCAAGATCATTCTGTTATCCCAACTGCTGGGAGATTCAGGATGGATGCATATGTATTTCAGGGAATGATGTCATCAGTTACGTCAAATTGCATTCCATTGGCTCCAGGGGCCACACGCAGCCACAGGGGCTAAGGTAAGCCACCCGTACCGTGAAACGTCTAGTTGGCCAGTATAGGAACAGACTGCTGGGTGGTAGTGGCATTTGGGCTGACCCAGGATGGTTCTTTTTATGGTTTTACTTGACACTGAAAGTACAGTAATATTGTAATTAGGCAAGCTTCCTTGGAAAGGGAAGGCGTTTTATAGTTTGGGATGCTACTGCAAAAAAACCCTCTCTTCTTCCGTAATGCCCACCCTACCCAGGACGGGCAGCTTACTTTGGAGAAGGGCTTCTGCAGATGGTCTTACTGCAAGGTAAATTGAAAAGGGTTAGGTGCTCCTTCACAATTACTGTAGGAGGAGAACTGTGTTTAGTCTATGGTGGCAAAAAATCAGGAGTCTGATAGCACCTTTTTCATGAGCTGTGGCTCGCTTTATCAGATGCACAGAGTGGCTGGACTGGTGTAGGATTTAAACTGAGCTACACTTTTCTAAAACAGTCACTCTGAGTTCTGCTATTCTGCAGCACCATGGAGTGAGAAAGTGTTGAACTCACAGGCATCAACAGGTCTCAGACATTTTCAGAATGGGTTGTTAACACATTGGGTTTTCACACAGTACAACTGTTGATTGATCAGGTGCTTGTGATCTGTTTTACATGTAACCTGCATCTGCATAACCAACCTATTTCCCCCACCTCCCCCACCTCCACCTTACCCCAATTTAAACCTTACATCAGTCTAGCCACTCTGTGCTTCTGATGAAGAGAGCTGCAGCTCACGAAAGCATATGGCTTTCAATAACATTTGTTAGCTGGAAAAGTTGCTACCTGACTCCTGGTTTTTTGCCTTCACAATTATGCACATTGTAGTCATGTGGCACGAAAGCAAGAAGGAGCAGAAGTCCCCCATAAGCCACTCAGCAGAGAAAGTGGAACAGGAAACCACCTCAGCATGTTTTGTTTATGTATGTTCATTTATTAAACAATTTCTGTCCTACATTTCAAGCAATAGATAGCATTCAGTGTGGTAAGTTCTCTGACCTTTACAAAGTGGTGCAAATCCTGTCCACTCTCCCATGGCCATACAGTTAAGCCTCTTGGATCCAATTTTTATAAAACCCGTATCACAGGAGAAGACACAGCTGGTGTTATATGTGAAGTTTCCATAAGGGTGAGAGCATTTGAGCTGTCCATTCTTTGGAGCATGCAATTCTGGGCACTTGAGAGCTGGTGAAAAACCAATTGAAAGAAACCTTTAGGGGAGAGATCCATAAATGCTGCAGAAAGAGGCAGGAGGAAGAAAATATTGCGGAACTGATAGCTGAGAGAGTGAATGAAGGAGGAGGCTTTTAGTGGCTGATGAGCTACTGCATATTAAATTCACAAACTAGGAACTTCTGGGAATATTAGAAGCTGGGTAAAAAAAATAACACTAAGCTTGTATGAAATTTGCTCGTTTATTTCAAGGTTTTTTTATTTATTTGTGTCATTAATTTCTGCAGAAAGTTCATGTTCTACCTTTGGTTTGACCTCAGCGCTAGACACTTCAGTCTCAGTTACGTATAGCTTATTCTATCAGGACTGTTCCTTTATAGGCTAGTAGGGAAGTAGAGGAAGGAAGGAAGGAAGGAAGGAAGGAAGGAAGGGAGGG